GCTGTGGGAAGCGCTTGGGCAGCAAATATATTTATATATGGGGGAAGTGGGGGGAGAATCAAAGCAATAAAATAAAATTGCACAGCGTACACACTAGGCATCATTGTGCAAAATTTGGTGTCTCTAGCTCTTATAGTCTCTGAGATCCAGGCGTTCATACGGACGGACAGACAGATAGACGGACAGACGGACAGACAGACAGACAGGGCTAGATCGACTCGTCTCGTCATGCTGATCAAGAATATATATACTTTGTGGGGTCTGCCACGCCTCCTTCTGCCTGTTTTTGTGCTCAAATTTGGCAAGTTTCGTCATGATAGGTCAATTCTGAAGAAAGTTATAGCCATAAATAAAATTGCTGCCCATTGTCTGCCTGCAGCTCTGCCCGCAGCTGTTGTTGTTGCTGATTGGGTTCAACTTTGTGCTGCATACAAACACGCATATAAACACCCAGAGACACGATTCTGTTGTAAATTTATTCTATTGAAGATGTACATAAACAGTTATGTATGTATGCATGTGTTGAATATTTTATATTTAATTTCATTAATTAATTAAATTAATTAAATTTTTTTAAATATTTACTCTTTTTAATTTTCTTTTTTGTGGAGAGTACAGGGTATTTTACTGTCGGGCTTGCTCGACTATAGCATTCTATCTTATTTTTTTTTTTTTAATTTTGTTTGTGTATGATGTATTTAGTTAAATAATATCTATCGCAACCAGGCCTACGATTATAAAAATGTGAGAAATACCTAGCGCATGTTACAGGGTGTGCTCTAATTAAACGCGCTTTTTAGCCGAAATTTAAAATTAGAGCAGTTTCCTCTGTTATTTATTGCCTATCTACTGTTCTTTTTAAAATGATAAGCAGCTCAGTCCACCTCGTCAGCAGCCGACATATTAATTGTTGTGTCAAGGAGCATTTTCCTTGCCAACATGAAACTTCAGGTCTGGGCGGTGTGCGAATTAGTTTGAAAATAAATTAAAATGTAATTAACACATAACCAAATAATACGCGACAGACAATGGTTCTTCTTCAAGAGTTGATTACAAACGGTTTATTGGTATTTTCGTACTGATTCATTAGAGCTCAAATTATAGTGTGGTGAATTTAAATGTAAGAATGTAAGCAGTATAGAATAACAAAGGAAGAATTTACAAGGTGCGTTCCAAAGTAAAAAGGACTTTTTGAATCTAGTGGTGCCGCTATCTATATGTCGATGACTGGTGCGTTAGAATCTGCTATCTTTATCGGACAATCGATAAAGATGAGAATTTCATGACATTTCATCGATTGGAAAAGAAGTTATTGCGTTTTAAGTGTCAGTGTGTTTGTGTTATCGGTGCAAAAATGAGCTTCGAACAAAGAGCCAACATTAAATTTTGTTTTAAAATTGGTAAAAGTTTTACCGAAACGTTTCAATTGATGGAACAAGTTTATGGCGATGATTGCCTATCCCGTAGCAGAGTGCTCGAGTGGTTTCAACGTTTTCAAAGTGGTCGGTTCGTGGTCGTCGAAACTGTGCGTGAATTCATCAAAAATCAGCCGAATTCATCATTGAAATTGATGGAAATGGAATTGAACATCTCCAAAACATCGATTTATCGCATATTGACCGAACATTGGGCTTACGAAAGGTGTGTGCACGGTTTGTTCCGCACAAATTGACTGACGACCAAAAATTGCTCAGAATCGGTCGACGCTTGTGACCGATTATTTGACCAAAAATCACATTTTAACCATTAAACCCTCGCCGTATTCACCTGATATGGCACCGTGCGACTTCTACCTTTTCGGAAAAATGCATTTGCCCATGAAAGGAAAGCGTTATGCAGACGTAGAGGCCATTCAAAAGGCTTGCACCGTCATACTGGCGGCCATACCGGCCAACGAGCTAAAACACTCGTTCGACATGCTATTGGATCATGCAAAAAGCTATATTGAACCAGAAGGAGACTATTTTGAATAAAATAAATTGATTTTGCCGAAAAAACCATTTAAAAAGTCCTGTTTACTTTGGAACACACCTTGTATATTTGCAGTTGTGAGGGTTAATTGACTGATTATGACATGAGAATATTTCCAAGCGAAATAATAGGGTTATAATAGGGTTTAGAAACTATAATGTTATTTAACTGCGAGTGTGGCTAGTTTGACCCAACAGTAATACTTGTAAAGAAAGAAGGCAGGCCGAACTGACGAATCATGGCCATAACCTTTTTCTTTTCTGCTTCCCAATGAGCAGGTGACGTCAGAATACCTCTAAGGATCCTATAGCCTTCATCGTGGCGAATAAGATGATCCATATGATCATCATTAAGGGCATTAGTAGCTGTTATGCCGTGAGGGGCGCTATGCTTTCTCAAACATATTGAAGGGTTGTTTGAAGAATAGTTTATCAATTCTACAAGCTCTCATATCTTCATTCAAAAGCTCAGACCTAAAAATGGTTGTACAACTTTGAGAAGTCTTTCTTTGAATGCCGGCGAATATTGTTGGAAAAGCTAACTCTTCTGAGTCAGCATCAAGAATCATGTTCAGGGGTCTTTGGCCTTCGCCAGGAGCAATTGTGTTTTTTTGCATGGCAACATTATTGCTCTTAAAAGAGAGTGCACCTGCACGTTTTAAGTAAATTTCTCTTACACACAAATACGTGCGCAAATGTTTCGCCTGGTGGGTGCACATACATATGTTTTGTTTATGCGTCCGATTTGATCATTCAAACATATGAAATAGTGGCTTACGTAGCTTACCACAATTATTAATATTAAAATTTAAAAAAATAGAGAGGGTCATTTTTGATCTACAGGGATTTTAGCCAGACCCCAAGCGGCGCTGTATCATTGTATTTTATCGCGCCGGATTAAACTGTCTGTCTATCTCTCCGTCTGTCAGCCTGTCCGTCCGTTCGTCCGTATGTATGAACACCTGGATCTCAGAGACTATAAGAGCTAGAGACACCAAATTTTGCACAAAGATGCCCTATGTGTGTACGCTGTATATGCATATAAACACGCAGAGACACGATTCTGTTGTAAATTTATTCTATTAAAATTGTACATAAGCACTTATGTATATATGCATGTGTTGAATATTTTATACTTAATTTAATTAATTAATAAAAATGTTTAAAATATTTGTTTATTTTGTAAGTTTTCCTTTTTTGTGGAGAGCACAGGGTATTTTACTGTCGGACTTGCTCGACTGTTGCGTTCTATCTTGTTACGCTCTTTATATATGAAACATCGTATCATTTAAAGTTGGTAGAAATATTAAAACTTGTGGGAGCATTTTCAAAAATAAAACAAGTAAAAAAGCTAAAGTCGGGTGTCCCGACTTGGTAATACTCTGTACATATGTTTACAATAATTATAGAAAATAAAAAAATTAACAAATAAAAAAAAAAATTTGATCGATTTTACCTCTCTCGGTATTCGAACTCACGTAAAAGATGTATAATTGCACATTAACATAGCAATTGCGTCTGTGTGAGTGTATGTATGCCTATGCGCATCTATTCGTTTCTGTGTAAACATGTGTGCAGTCAACCAAACAGCAACATCAACAACAGCCGCGGGCAGCGTTTGAGCAGCGCTTGAGCAGCGCTGCAGCAGCAAATATATTTATGGCTATAACTTCTTGTGATATCGGTCTATCATGATGAAACTTGGCGTACGGACACATAATTACTAACTGGGGGTATTTACAAAATTTTAGTTCGAAATTCCAAGAATTACGGGGAGAGGGAGGGAAATTCCAAAATATACATTTTCTGCATATTCACATAAGGCATCTGGGACTAAAATTTTGTGTTCCTAGGTCTTATAGTCTCCGAGATATAGGCGATTATACGAACGGCGTTACGGAAAAAACCCCATAGGGAGGAAGTGGGGGGAAAATCAAAAAAATAAAACAAACTTGTATAGAATACACACATAAGGCATCTTTGTGCAAAATTTGGTGGACTCTATCTCTTATAGTCTCTGAGATCCAGGTGTTCATACGGACGGACGGACAGACGGACAGACAGACAGACAGGGCTAGATCGACTCGTCTCGTCATGCTGATCAAGAATATATATACTTTGTGGGGTCTGCCACGCCTCCTTCTGCCTGTTACATTTTTCAGCTCCCGCAAACCTAATATACTTCTGTACATTTCATGTACAGAGTATAACAAACAATAACAAAAATTGCAATAAAAATGCAAAAAAAATTCGATCGATTTTTCCTCCTTTGTGGTTTGAAATCACGCCCGTATGGGTGTTTAATTGTACAAAAAGAAGTTGTGGAATTAACCGCTTACCCACCTGCAGGTTAGTTTTCTAAATGTTAATGTGAGTAAATTATATGTATGTTGGTGGGGACATTTCAACTCAGACTTTCTTGCCCCACGTTGTAATTGGACAACACTGGTTTTAGGAATATTTCGTTGTTTATTAGGCATTTGTATGAATATTTTCAATATTAGTTGTATGCGTTTATTATTATTTTTTTTAGCAAAACGCTTGTCGCTTAGCTATGTGTGTAGTGTACAGCGCAGAGTGCAGGCAAAGCAGCAAAAACAACAACAGCTGCGGCCAATACTTGGTCATATATATACATACATACATATATTGCTATAGCTTCCTCTTAAATTGGCCTATCATTATGAAACTTGGCATACGGAATAACTGGAAGTATTTTCCGAATAAGGAAATAAGGAAAAATTATAAAGGAAGGGAAGCAGCTTGACGTTTTGAGTTAACAAAATAATAGCAATCGTCAGTAGATGTACTATAATGATTTCCGACCGAAGGTTGGGTTTGACTGCAATCTGTACGCCTCTGCCTCACGTCGAAAAATACAAAAATTTTATGATAAAATGTCTTTGTTAGAAATCGTTGGACTTAACCACGTTTCTAGAAACGCAACAATACCTTATTCAAAAGAAAAACTTATTTTAAACGAAGGTATTTTATTTAAATTTCACCCATTTTAAAACATTATTTTTCTAGGCCAAAACATTTTATGTACCGCGCTGTAATTGATATTGGCTCTGGTAATCTGAGTAGCAACATTGTTTCCTCCATCAGTGGATGCACATTAGGATTGATTGCTGAAGATTGTGTCCTTAAAATTGTAAGTATTTGGAGAAGCTAAAATAATTAGAATAATTATAGAAATTTAAAAAATTAAGAGATTTAAAAAAAAAATTTTGATCGATTTTACTTTTTTTGGTATTCGAACTCACGTAAAGGGTATATAATTGCACATATACAAAGCAATTGCGTCTATGTGAGTGCATGTATGTTTATGCGCGTCTATTCGTGTCTGTGTAAGCATGTTCTCAGTCAACCAAAGCATCAGCATCAACAACATCTGCGGGCAGCGCTTGGGCAGCAAATATATTTATGGCTATAACTTCTTGCTAAATCGGTCTATCATAGTGAAACTTGGCATACGGACACATAAGCACTAACTGGGGGCATTTGCGAAATTGGTCGAAGTTCCAAGAATGACGGGAAGAAAATCGCGATTTTCTCGGGAGAGGGGGGAGGGAGGGAAATTCCAAAATTCACATTTTCTGCGTATTCACATAAGGCATCTTGGACTAAAATTTGGTGTCCCTAAGTCTTATAGTCTACGAGATATAGGCGATAATACGAATGTAAAATCGGGAAGTTGAGGGGAAAATCAAAAAAATAAAACAAACTCATCTTTGTGCAAAATTTGGTGTCTTTAGCTCTTATAGTCTCTGAGATCCAGGTGTTCATACGGACAGATGGACAGACAGATAGACAGACAGGGCTAGATCGACTCGTCTCGTCATGCTGATCAAGAATATATATACATACTTGTACTTTGTGGGGCCTGCCACGCCCCTTTCTGCCTGTTACATTTTCAGCTCCCGCAAACCTAATATACAAGTACTCTTGTACATTTCATGTACAGAGTATAATTAACGAAATTGTAATATCGAAGTCACATAAAGAGTGCATGATTTAATATTTACTGTTTGGTCAAGCAGTAGGCGCAGGCAGCGCAGTCGTCCGCAGCAGACAAATTTAATTATTTATTTATTTATTTCATCGACAAACAATGCAGTCGATGTAAAAGAAAAAGAAAACATAAAATCAATACAAAAGATAACTTAAACTAAAATAAAGCTATAGGAATAAAAAGCCTATAAAAATTACACAAATATCTAATAACGAATCCGACACGGTGGGGGAATTTTATTTGCCAAACGTCCAGCTATGCCCCGATTCACAGCAGAGGGTAGTCAGATAAGTTATTAGACCTAACAAAAAAAAAGGAATGGAGATGAAAAAATAGCAATAGAAGATAAAAGAAAAAGAAAAAAAAAAACTTAAATAATAAGAGATAAAATATAATTAAAAGCTAAAGGTGAAGAATCACTGACCCGTTGGGGGAAAATTTATTAGCCAGTCCGGCAAGCTATGCCCCTACTCACAGCAGTGGTGATCAGTGATTCTGCCGGAGGTAGCTGAAAATAAAAGCTTTTAGTGAGGGGAGAGAGAGCTCATTTGAGATTAAAAAGTAAAAAGAATTATAATTAGAGCATAATACTCGAAAAGGGTTGTGCATGGCGTAATCACTAGTGCATCTGTTAAGTAGAAGAGGCAGAAAGTTCCTTGTTGGCCTGGAAGGAACAGAAAAATTAATACGACCTAAAAGCATAGAGGAATCAACATCTCCAACAATCAATTTGTGGAGGAACAGAACACCAAGAACTATCCTACGGTGAGCCAAAGAGGGCAGGTTAATAAGGAGAAGCCTACTGGAGTAGGAAGGTAATAGCAGATTAGGATTCCAGTTAAAACCACGAAGAGCAAAAAGAAGAAATTGTTTCTGGACTGACTCAATGCGATCCTGATGCAGTTTATACTGAGGACACCAAACACATGAGCAGTATTCTAGCACTGGTCGTACTAGAGAACTGTAAAGTAGCTTGGTAGTATAGGGATCGTTAAATTCTCTGGACCATCGTTTAATATAACCAAGAACACCATTAGCTTTGTTAACGATAGTGGAGATGTGAAGATTGAAATTCAATTTGGAATCAAAAAGAACTCCAAGATCTTCAACTGTAGATATACGTTGCCATGGTATATTGTCAATCGCATAAGTACCTAAATGTGGTCTGGACCGGTGGAAAGTCTTAAAACTTGCATTTAGAACAGTTAAGGTGAAGGTAGTTGACCAAGCACCACCATTGAAAACAGTTTAGATCATACTGCAGACGAGACTGATAAAGAGGATCTTTATACGAAAAAATAAGCTTTACATCATCGGCATAGTATACGGGAATGCAGCAGGATAGACGGAAGATCATTAATAAATAGAGTGAATAATTGGGGGCCGAGATGACTACCTTGAGGTACTCCCGAAGTTACGATAACAGGTTTAGAAATATTCGACCTGAGTAGTACCTTCTGTGTCCTATTTTTTAAGTATGAGGAAATCCAATTCAAAGAGTTTGACGGAAATCCCATACGAGATAGCTTTAAGAGGAGAAGGTCGTGATTCACAGAATCAAATGCTTTGCTGAAGTCAGTATATATAACATCACCTTGCATCTTTGCTAGGAATGCATCATTTATGACAGATGTAAATTCTAACAGATTAGTCGTTGTTGACCGATTTTTAAAAAATCCATGCTGAGCAGGGGAGATTACAGACTTACAATGATGCTGTAGAGAGGAAGTAATTATTTTTTCAAATAATTTAGGAATAGCAGACAGTTTGGCAATGCCCCTATAGTTAGAAATGTCTGACTTACAACCCTTTTTGTGGAGTGGTACAATAAACGATTCTTTCCAAAAAGCAGGAAAGATTTCGTTCTCAAGGGACAGATTAAAAAGCTTAAGCAACGGCTTACAGAGGGAGGTACTACACCCTTTGAGCACACAACTAGGAATGTAGTCAGGCCCAGGAGAGAATGAAGCTTTTACAGATTGTATATTAGACAAAATACAAGAATCTGTAACTATTGGAACAAAAGTGAAATTTGAAGGCATAATGCAAAATGGGTAGGAATTGCCGTTAAAAGAATCGGAGGAGTATGTCGACTGGAAAAACTTTGCAAATAATTCAGCACTTACGGAATCATTAACAGAATTGTCATTCGCAAGAAAAAATGACGATGGCAAAGTCGAAGATTTCCGTTTAGAATTTACGAAGTTGTAGAACTTCTTAGGGTCATGTTTAAATTGGAGTTTGCAACGCTCGAGATAATTTGTGTAACACAGGGAGTTTAACAGAATAAAATTAGATTTTGCAATAGAATATTTGGAGAAGTCATCAGATAAGCCAGACTCTTTGAACTTTTTAAAACATCTCGATTTAATGTTTTTTAAGTTAGAAAGTCTACGCGTAAACCATGGAGGTTTAAGAGTAGAAGATGATGCGACGCTATTGGGAACACAGACATCGAAGATGGAATACATGGTGTCATAAAAAAATTTTGAAGCAACATCTATATCAGTGGAGCTATATAAGAAAGACCAGTTAGTATTTAAAATCAAACTGTTAAGCATAACTGAAAAATCGCTAGCTTTTTAGCGAAACGACAACAAGATTTAACTATTTATTAAATGAGACGCGGTGTTCTTTAATTATTAAAATGGCTTTTAATGGCTTGGTAATTGTGTAATAACGATGTTAAATGTGCGAGTATTACTTTGCAAGTGATTTGCCTGCTGCCGCTACAAGTCAGCGAGCCGGCATAAGAAAAGTAATGCACAAAGAGAGCGCCACAGAGAGCGCAGTAAAGGGCGCGATAGAGAGCGCAAAGAAAAGGCTCAGAAGCTAAGTAGGGTGCTCCAACATTCCGGCCCCTTTGAAGGACTCCCGGTCTTTCAAATCCACACGGAGCACCGCCAACATCGTGGACTGGTCGCCTAGCAGCGCCGCTGCCTCCAACAATCCTCCTATGTGAGGAGGTCGGGGAAGAATGAACCACCAATTGATTCGTCGCTCTGCCGCATAGTCCGTCAGGGCGTCCTTTCTCCGCTCGAAAGCCGACGGCATGTCCCTCAGCAAGCCGCTTGTTCCCGCGAAGTTCGTCACGTTGTCGCTAAAGACCATTTCCGGCAGGCCGCGCTTCCCGATGAACCTTGTAAAGACGTTAAGGACAGTATCAGTGGATAAATTAGCTACCAGTCCGAGGTGAACGGCCTTCGAGGCAAAACAAACGAATACCGCTACGTAATTTGTAACGGGCGGTCTTCCGCGTATGCGATAGCTACCATGGAATGGGCCGCAAAGTTCGAGTCCACAAACCCTGAAAGGTCGACCTTCTCGACGGCGATCACCTGGCAAATTTCTCGTTATTTGCTCAACTAACTTGGGCTTGCATCGAAGGCAGTTATGTGAAACTGCTGAGCAAACCCTACGAGTATTTATCACCCAAATCTGTTGCTTTAGCAGCCCAACTAACATCTTAAATCGCCACAGCTCTTGCCACAGAGTTTTGGCCGCTGTGACGATGGGGCACAAAGGTCCAAGTTGCTCAGACAAACGAGATAATATATTCCGCTTTGTCGGCTTCAACCAAGTAAAGCTATCCTCATGCAGATGATAACGAAATACATCATTATGAGGAGCCAGCATGTCGTCAACATAAAAACAATTTTTAATGACATTTAACGCGACATGGTAACATCGAGCATAAATATTTGCCAATTCAAACAACAAGCGCACAGCAAAAAATGGCGCTGATGCAGTCCCGTATGTTACAGTGTTCAACTTAAAGGACTGCAGCTCATGAGAGGCGCTTTCTCGCCAGAGAATGAGCTGGTACTTTTTGTCTTTTTCAGACACGTTTATTTGCCTGTACATCTTGGAGATGTCGGCAGTAATTGCGTATTTATTCAACCGAAAATTTACAAATGTTGAATAAAGCTCCCTCTGAATAGTCGGCCCAACCATTAAAGTGTCATTTAATGACAGGGCCGTTGACGTTTTACTAGAAGCGTCAAACACCACACGCAATTTGGTTGTGGTGCTTTCAGGTCTCAGGACACACTGATGAGGAATGTAGTAGTGCTGTCCTGGAGGAGGAGATTCAAGAGCAGACATATGCCCAAGATCACGATACTCTCTCATGAAGTCAT